ATAACATCTTCTGGAGAGTCAGCAATAAATCTATTAAAAGCACATTTTCAAAAATTACAGGATGCTTAGATATTAGATCAGCATACAAAACTCTGTAATATTCCTATATACAGAAAATTTTAAAACAAAAATCAAATTATATAATATAACTATTTTCACAATAGTAATCAGAAATCCAAGGCATTGAGAATATTTTAATATGCTTAGAAATTAAATTTAAATTTGTAACTAATTTTTGGCTGAAAACTAAAATGTTTAACTATTAATGTGAATATATCTTCATAAAATTCCAGAAGTATGTAGTCATAGACACAGAAGCAGACACACAGAGAGGTGAATAGACAGATAGAGATGATAGATGTACATATTAAGGGATAAAATTAATGAAAACATTAAATACAATAAAGATATAATTATTTTCCCCAATTTATCTCTAAATTAATTGAAACGGTGACCAAAACTCAATGATGTAATATTTGGAACTTGACCAGTTGAAATACACAAAGAAAAGGAGCCATGATTAGGTAAAACAATTCTGAAGAAAGCCAATGAAGATATTAAACTTTATTTACAAGATATGATCTTTGGCAATTTGGGCTGTTGTAATAAAATGAAAAGACTGGTACATTTATAAAAATCAGACATTCATACTACACTACTCAGAAGGCAGTAAATTTCATAAGCAAGGCACTGGCAGATTTAGTGCCTGGTAGGGGCTTGCTATTGCAAAGATGGCACCTAGTGCTGCATCTCCATCTGGCCAGGATGGAAAAGCAGAGTTGATACTCACCATCCTGTAAGGACCACTGTGGTGGCTAAGTCAGCTTCTAAAGGCGTCACCTCCTCATGCTATTTCTTGGGAACTTTTTGAATGTAAATTATTCAAAGAATACTAGATACTTCCCTCCAAACATTAAACATATAATATGGTTATATGTGAAAATATAACATTACAAGTCAGCAAGATTAGGTTGACTTGTGGAGCAACAATGTAAAGGAAGTTTCATTATTTGAATACAGGAAAACTGTAATAATGTATAGTATACAGTGTTTTAAAAGACTTCAGAAAACAGTATTGCATATTAAAAAATAAATATTCCAAACAACAAGGGGATAAAAGGAATAACCACAAATAGACAGATTTCTTAAGCAAAATCCAGAAATCAATCAATAAATAAACAAACAAATAAATAAGTGAAGGATTGGCAAATGCAATTATATTAAATTTTAAAATGCTTGCTCGAGGCTGATGAGACAGAGTGGAAAGTAAAGGCACTTGCTGCCAAAGTACAAAGATGTGTGTTTCAAATGCAGGATGGATGTGGTGAAAGGAGAGACCCAACTCCATCACATCATCCTGACCTCAAATGTGCACTTGCCTTGGCATACAAACACACTCCAGTAGATAAATGAGTAAGTACATGCAATATAAAAGTACTTGAAAATAATATGTCTGTCAACCAAAAGGAAAAGATGAGCGATGCCTGTAAAATATAGAACATGTAAATAATTTTAAACACGATTTCTTTTTGGTTTTTTTTTTTTTTTTGAGACAGGGTTTCTCTGTGTAGCCCTGGCTGTCCTGGAACTCACTCTGTAGACCAGGCTGGCCTCGAACTCAGAAATCTGCCTGCCTCTGCCTCCCAAGTGCCGGGATTAAAGGTGTGCGCCACCACCGCCCGGCTTAAACATGATATTTTAAGAAGCCAGTAAATACAATATTCATGCATGAAGTTCTCAAGCATTTTTTTAAAAAAAACACAAATCAATTCTAACACATAATCAACAAAAGAAGAAAACTCACTAGGCAGTAAACCTGAAAAATATTCAACCTTAGAGAAAGTAAACTTTAAAAATAAGTACATTTATCTTAATGGCCTCAACAAAAAAATTTAGAAAATCTGGTTGTATGCTAGAGATAATGTGCAGAAAGTATTCTTGTAAGAGAGTAAATTATTGCCATCATGATTATCCTGTTGAAAATTTGAAGTTACTTAGTGGAAAGTGAATTTAGCTTTTACATTAAAATTCCACTGCTGGTACTTATTCTAAAATAATGTTTGCTACATCTATGAATCAATATCAAGAGTAACAGCAATTAAGCTAAAAATGGGAAAGACAAAGAGACTATTCTAGGCAAGCTCTAATATAGATCAATTAAGATAAGTAGAGATAGGTATATATACTATCTTATTAATGTAGAAAATGGAGAAAGCATGTGTGCTATTTACAGTTACATACAGATAAAGCCACTTAATTTATATGTGTAGACAGTTCTGCTCAGACCTCAGTGGTTCACTGAATCCTTTGAGTGGAATAAGTTCTTTGGTCTGTCATCACTGTCCTATCTTGAATAAACAGGTGTTTATCCATGTATGCACAAAACTCTCACAAGATTATCTTCTTATAAACATTACGTACTATAACGAACATAGCAAATGATTTATAACAAATGATTTAGCCATCTGTGGTGAGAATCAAGAGGCAAAGAGTAAGTTTAGGGAGAATTTAAAATGCAGTGAATCAGCAGACCGACATGAAATCAGCATTCTTAGATATCTGGCCTTCATGAATTAGATGTTGTAATGGAGACAAGATATCTCAAGGATTAAAAGCTATGATGTTCTTTCTCTCCAACCCTATAGCATTCAATTCTTTCTTTTCTGATTTAGTTGTATTGTTTGTCCTTGCACATACCTTCCAATCTCTCCATTTTCCCATCTCACTTCTCTTTTCACTTATTCCTTGGTTCCTTGTAAACCCTTTGCATATCTCCTCCTCCTCCTCCTTCTCCTCCTCCTCCTCCTCCTCCTCCTCCTCTTCCTCCTCCTGTTTCTCCTCCTGCTCCTGTTTTTCCTCATGCTCCTGTTTCTCCTCCTCCTCTTTCTTCTCCTCCTTATGAACATACTTGTTTCTCTTGCCTAGTTCCTCCTACCTCCAAGGATGTAAATCTCCCTTTTTTCTGACAGGTAAAATAAAAAATGAAAATGTCAAACTGAGAAGAACAAAAGTCTCTAAAGTACCCACAGCTCACCTGAGCATCAAGGTACACTGGCAAGTTTAAAATTCTAATGACAGACCTTTTATATACATGCATACTCCATTTAACCACAAAAATTAGGTACCTAGTAAGGAACTGGATGGGAGGAGAGAGGATCTCCCAAGGAGGTGTAAATAGTATATGAGACATGGAGGAGACAAGAGTGAGAGAATTATAGGAGGTGGGATAAAAAGGTGTAAAGGAAGAAATATGCGGAGGGACCACTATCACTAAGTGCCTTTTGAGGGGACAAATGAAAACCTGCTTCTGGAGAAGCAGATAGATAGATAGATAGATAGATAGATAGATAGATAGATAGATAGATAGAGAATTATATATATAATATATATTATATATATGAGTAGAATCTAAATGGAGTCACCAATAACAGGAAAAACAGTGCTCCAACTAGATATCTTGTACCACCAAGTAAAATCTCCAATGCCAAAAACTGATTAAATTTTGTGGAGTCATTGGCCAAAGAGGCCCTATCATATTATCCCCACCCACCAGATCACAGGTTATCACTAAGGTAATATATTGGTTGCTTGCCACAAACTGATAATAACATCCTATTTCTAAAGACAACACGTATATATCTCACCTCACAAAGAGAAGTTGAGCTGGCCCCTAACTGGAGGTTTCACCCCTACGGACAAACATTCATGGTACTGAAAGGGAGGTCCTCTGAACAATCTCAGAGAAGAAAGGTACTCCTCACCATCTGAGCTGAAAACTCTGCAACCTGTCTGTTTGATAGGTTGGACAATAGTGGCACAGACACTATGGGAATAATGAGCCAACCACTCTCTGATCAGATTACAAGAACACTCTATTAGTTGAAATTCATTCCTGACACCACTATAGTGGCCAAGAACCAATGACTGGACAGACCACGAGCCTAGGGAAAAACCAAATTCTATTATTTTGAAGCTAAAGGAAAATAGTAATAAAGTGACTCCTAGTGACATTCTTCTATACCCTTGGATCAGTATCTCAGCCAACATGAGAGAAGATAATTCTTATATAAGATGGAAATTAACACAAAGACCCACAACTGGACAATACGTAGAGAGTGAATAATTTTGGAGCACTCAGTCTTAAATGGGATGTCTTCTTTAAACTCCTCCCCTTGGGTCCTTGGGGAGCTATGTAGATGAAAAAGCAGAAAGGTTGTAGGAGCCACATGGAAATAGATGACCCCAAGGAAACAGTGTAGTCCAGATGCAATGATTGAAACACACATGAACTCAAAGAGACTGTGCCAGCATCCATACAGTCTGCATAGGCTCAAACCACATGGGATCTTATCACTGAGAGGGATAAGTGAACATAAGCTCCCACCACTACCACACCCCTCTGCAATTGATACTTACTGACAAATGAAAATATAGTTTTCTCCAACAGTGCCTCATTGGGCATATTGACCACACTTAAGGGTAGGCTCCATCCTTAAGAGTAGTTAGACAGTACAAAATAAACTCAATGGAACTTTTATAAAAATATTATTTATAGATAGATAGATAGATAGATAGATAGATAGATGGATGGATGGATGGATGGATGGACGGACGGACGGACGGACGGACGGACGGACGGACGGACAGACAGACAGACAGACAGACAGACAGACAGACAGATAGATAGATAGATAGATAGATAGATAGATAGGAGAGAGTATATACAAATATATACAAAATAATGCATTTTATATATTATATATCATATATGATGAAATTATTCACAGTAATTTGATAGAAATTTCCCATCTACCAAAACCTGGAGAAAAGTTTCATAATAACTTTTTAAAAGCTAAACATATTTATTTCAGCACTGGGAACAACTAGACCCTGCCATCTTTGCTGTTCAGGCCATAGCAGTGTTCAAAACTGTGTAGAAAAGATAAGATTAAGGCTACAGGCAAAAGCCACAGCGCTCTAGCAGCTAAGTGATCCTTTCTGACCGTCAGATCCTGGGCTTCAACCCTCTTCATACTGGGGGAGCAGGTGGTGATCTGAAGCCTCTAGTGGTTCCTAGCAGCAAATCTCATCCCCCTCATAACCATCAAGGCTAATGCCAAGGGTGATTTTCAAGGAACACTAACCTTAAGTAATTATTAATTAAGGGGATTTTGTCAAACTCTTCTTTCATAATGACACATTCTAAACCAGAGGAAATTCAATGAACATGGAAATCAAAAAGCCATCTATATTACTCTAGATTTCTTTCAGAATGATAAGGTTGATTGCAGAATTACAAGTTATAGGTCCTACAGACCCAGATGTGGGGGTGCAGAGTAAGCAAATGAAAAAGCAGGATATGTTCATGATAAAGTGAGGTGTATCCCCGTTAGAAAATACAGCAGACATAGCTTTTTACTGCATTTGAGTCTCTGAACTATGAGAGAATCACTTACAAAGGTCAAAATGCTGTAACTGTGCCTAAACCTCTGTTGTCTGCAAGCCTGTCTGGTCTAGTAAATATAAAAATATACTTTGTTATTTGGGAAAATACAGCTACAAATTCATGGACGATCTAGATTGAAATTTTGTAATAATGCCTACTACCACAAAGTGAGAAGGGGACCATATAAAAGACAATCTAGGGAAGTGGTTAAAAAATAAAATGGAGGCAAGCAAAAAAACCAACTTCAGATGTACTTCCTGTCATGGCCTTTAGTAGTCAAATAGCTCATAATATTTGCTCTTTTTTTTTTAACAAGGTTGTATGTGTATGCGTGTGCACAAATACATATGTAGATCTGCATACATACATAAGTCTGTGTGTATCCATGTATGTTGACCTAACTCTTCAGTATTTCACTAACATAATGCCTCTTTGGCAGTCACTGTCATGGTATATCTTTAGCATGTCTTTCAGTACAGTTATGTCACACACAGTGCTCAACTCATTCTGCATGCTTGTCTAGGATACATTGTTACTTATAGTTAAGTAAATATGACATGAATGAAAAAAAGAAATAAAAGAAAAAGAAAGGATATGAGTGTTCCTAGGTATGATGGAGGAGAAAGTTTTATATATATATATATTGGCTATATATCTAGCCAGAGGCAGACACATCCATCCAGAAGAGTCCAGAGTAATCATGACCCTGAACCATGTGGGAGAGGGGGAGGGGAAGAGAGAGAGAGGAGAACTATGTATAGCAGCCAGGAGGCTAAAGGTAAAAAGGGTACAAAGGATGGAGGGTGACCAAAATGTCTGGATTATATAGGGAAGAGCCTCTGGGAGAAGGGCAGGATATGCCAGCCATGTATAGTAACATCTAGGCACTGAAGGATGCTGGGAAAACCTGGAAGCTAAGTATGCTTTGATATGTTACATAGGCACCTTAGCCACTTGTCTTGGGTTTGAAACTGAACATGAGTATGCTTATTCTAACATCTTTGTTTTTCTTAGGGGTAAGTAATCATGTCTTCTGAACTACTTTGTCATATAAAAGCCAGAAAGAAGGCTAATATCAGAAACAGAGCCCCAAATTTGACCTTGATATGATAATTCCTGCCTCCAGATATTACTTCTATTATCCGTCAAACTCTGTAGTATATTCTTATTATTGCCCACTCTGAGTAGTAATGACTTTAAATAAGAACCAGAGTCCACTATACCAAACACTCTGAAGTATGGTTTTGGAACTGAGTCAAGTAGAAGCTGTAAAAGTTTTGAGTTCTCTGCTAGGCCAAGTCCAAAAGCCTTAAAAAGAGTGTTTGTAGAAATGTAGACATTAGGGACTCAGTTGAAGGCTCAGAAAGAAAGAACTATAAAGAAAACTCGGTCATTTACAGGATATATCACCACATGAACAGATTGTATAGAAATATGAATGAAAATGGACAGATATGAGAAACATAAGGAGAACATGAAGAATAAATAACACTGTAAAAATGTCAACTGAACTCTGAAGATTTGCTGACCTCTGTCCATCTTCCAGTGCCTGGAGGCTTATAGAGCAAAAACTGGACACCAGGCTAAGGAGGTTTCTTAGAAAGGGTTTGAAACAGCAAGCTAACCTACTGTTGTGATTTATAGAAAAATTCAAAAAGAAAAAGATGCATTAAAGGAACTGTTAAGAAAAACAAGAACCACAATTTATTGATTTTTAGAAACCCTCAGTCAATCTGTACATCAAGGAATAAGGAAAGTTATTCTGAGAAAAACTATATTGTGTACCTAAAGTGACCATTTCATAGGTACATTGGTATATGTATTAGTCAGGATTCTCTAGAGGAACAGAACATATGGAATACACAGACACACAGACACACACACACACACACACACACATATGCAGGCAAAGAGAAAGAACAAGCTTCTGTCCTTTACTTAGGCTGCCAGCAGAAGTTGTGGTCCAGGCTAAAGGTGGGTCTTTTCAACTCTAAAGACCTCGATTAAAATGAATCTTTCCTCTACATATAATTTAACAACAACAAATTAAAAACCCTCACAGGTGTATCCGGCCACTTAAGTTTTAGTTAATCCCAGATATAGTCAAGTTGACAACCAAGAGGAGACAATGCATATTTATGTGATCTACAGGTTAATCAAGCAAGCAACTCTGGAGAATCCCGAGAGACTGGGTTATGCTGCATTGCCAGCTGGAGTAAAATTGAACAGATAAAATATAAAGAATGAAACATCAGTGTATATTTGTAAAGTCTACGAGATAGGAGAAATAGTTATCTTGATGTGAACAGGTACTATCCTTCAAAACCATGGAGAATGACCAAACAGTAGATGAGAAAGTCTCAGAGCCACAAATACTACAGCAAGCTCAACAGCACTAGCTCCACCTCATCAGTCTTAAACCACAGAGTCTTTACAGTTTGGATGTGCCACCATCCAATATATTAGGGACAAGGCCTTAGTCCTACCCAGTCAAAAGGGCAGGCTCAACAGGGGTAACCCAGCGGTCCCAGTGCATAAAGCAGCAACTCAGAAGATCTGACCTTTAAGACCTACTGGGATTATTCCCTGGCTTTTAACCTGTTTGGAGTTCCTCCTTCTTTGAACATCTGTCTTCTGGAACTGGAGTATCTGTCATAAGCCTGCCCCATGATTGTTCTGGGAACACATAAATGTGCCTGGTTTCATAGGTTTAGAGCAGGAATAAAATTTGTCCTCATAATAAGCTGTACCTAGAACTTCTAGATTCCTTAAGATGGGTAAGATTTTCATCTTGAGAGTTGATGAGTTAACACTTTGGGAACAGTTAGAATGGAATTAATACATTTTAAGTGCAAACATAAATATGCATTTGAGAAGGCCAGGAGCATGTCAAATAACTTATTATGACCCAAGTCCTTATGTTTGAGCTCAAACACCAATGTGGTTGTGTCTTCATACACACATGTTCTGTGTGACTGTGCATCAGACAGGTAATGACCTGTGTCCTCTTGTTCCTAGATTATATTCTTTGGTATTTCACAAAGTATTATTTTGTTTATTATGATCTCAAAGTATACAGAGTCCACCACTCTGTATCATCAGTGAGAGTCTTCACAGAGTGACTGACCTGAAAACAAAATTAAAAGTGATATAGCTGTGAACCATTATTGATACTCAGCAACAAGCACACCCCATTTCAATAAACTGGCTGTGTTAAAGAGGAAGGAAACATAACAGGAGCTTCTACAAGATTCACTTCATTGAATTAAGTGGGACAAACAAATCTTGAAAGGTGCTTACATCAGATATGGAAAGAAAATTAATGATCTTGGCTGGAAGTGACACACAGAAGAGAGTCCACTGCAATCTCTGTAAGTCCATTCTCTAATGTTTACCTGATGATGAAATAATCTAACAACACTTTCTCAGAACACGTGCTCTCATTAATTTTGGAAGAAGTAAGCTATTCAGGTGTAGTGAAACAATATGGGTAGTGCCCTTATCCTGTAGGTTAGTGTCCACATACAAGGAAACATCAGTATCTCTCTTTTTCTGAATGTACATAGCATGAGGAAAGGCAATGTGCAGACATCTCATATGGCAGCCAGCCATTGGTGACACAGAAACACCTGTGTCTTTACATCCACTCTGCTCAGTAATAAGAGAGCCGTGGCCACAAATTAATCCTGCTGGGCCTTATTCCAAACTCCAGAACAATTTGAAAATAATCTATTGCCATTTAAACTACCCTGACTATAGAACTTTTCATTTTTAGTTCTGATTTAATAATCTTGCCATCATATGGGTTTACATTTATAAATAAAATAATTATAAATAAATTTGTATTGGAGCTACCTTTACAACAGTAATTATATTTTATCATTTCATGAAGTGATTGACAAAGCAATTTTTTGTGACACTCTATAAAGACTACTATAGCCCCTACCTAGTCTTTAGAGGCCACACCATCTCATTATTGCTTGTACACCTTTAGGATATGAGAGAATACAGGGTCTAGCAATGTACTACAAAAATATAAAAGTTAAAATTCTGGACATGCATATATATGGCTGTATCTTAATATATCCCCATGCTAGAATTAACATGAAAATTGGGTCTATGATTCTAATTCTGAAGTCAGTTTCCTTCATAATGCTAACAAGGTTGTTTGCTTGACATATATTATGTCACAACCAAAAATTATTGAATATTGTCAATATTCCATGGGGCAAATCCTTTGAATACAGTCAAGTAATGTAATATTTCAAAGACTCCCCCAGATTCCTCAATGTAGGAGAAGTATATCAGAGGTCCTAAATACCTATCATACAGCATCCAAAAGGAAAATTTCATCACTTCAACCTCTACCTTTCATCTCTATTTTTCTAAGAGTTCATTTCCTCCAGTGCCTGAATGCTGGGATATAAAAATGAATCAACTTGATGCTAGATCTCCTGCACTGCTGACTAAAATGGATTATACTTTCATCCTATAAGCCCCAAATCTTGTCTTCTCTCTCATCTCTTTGACCTTGTGAGTAAAGGCCCTTTGACATCAATTTACCATCACTGCAATCATCTTTCAAGGATAAGATGGTCAATCCATAGATTAGTCACAGTTCAGGAATCATTTACTGGGTATATGGCCCTACTCAAGTTATTACCTTCCTGTGACTCATCTTATTTCCAAAAC